CAAAGATGGCTTACGTTCGTTTATTTATCGCCATGGCTGCTTCTTCAACAATGGCCTCTTTATCAACTGGATGTTAAAAATGCTTTCCTCAATGGTGATTTGCAAGAAGAAATATATATGGAGCAACCTCCTGGGTTTGTTGCTCAGGGGAGTCTTACGGGATGGTATGTCGTCTTCGCAAATCCCTATATGGCCTAAAACAGTCTCCTAGGGCTTGGTTTGGAAAGTTTAGCAAGGTTGTTCAACAATTTGGTATGACTCGGTGTGAATCGGATCATTCGTCTTTTATCGACACTCGAGTGCTTGGATGTGTTTACTTGATAGTATATGTTGATGATATTGTTCTTACAGGTAGTGACAACCATGGCATCTCTCGGTTGAAACAACATCTTTGTCACCATTTTCGAGACCAAAGATCTTGGCAAACTTAGATATTTCTTGGGTATTGAGGTAGCACAGTCCAATGATGGTATTGTTATATCTCGGAGGAAGTATGCCATAGATATTTTGGAGGAAGCTGGGTTGATGAGTTCAAAGTATGTTGATACACCCATGGATCCCAATACTAAACTTCTACCAAATCGGGGGAGCCTATATCGATCCTGAGCGAGTATAGAAGATTGGTTGGAAAATTGAATTATCTTACGAGTTACTCGTCCGACATTTCCTTTGCGATCGGTGTGGTAAGTCAATTTCTTAATTCACCATGTGAAGATCATTGGAATGCAGTCATTCGTATCTTGAAGTATATTAAAGGATCTCCTGGAAAAGGATTGTTATATGCTTCTAATAACCATACAAGAGTTGTTTGCTACTCGAGATGTTGATTGGGCGGGATCTCCTTCGGATAGAAGATCTACATCTGGATATTGTGTCTCCATTGGTGGTAACTTGATTTCATGGAAAAGTAAGAAACAAAGTGTTGTGGCAAGATCCAGGTGCGAAGCGAGAATATAGAGCTATGGCCTCGAGCTTCCTGTGAACTTGTTTGGCTCAAGCAATTGCTTAGAGAGTTACAATTTGGAGATGTCACTCAAATGACACTTGTGTGTGACAATCAGGCTGCTCTTCATATTAGTTCTAATCCTGTCTTTCATGAGAGGACCAAACACATTGAGATTGATTGTCATTTTATTCGAGAAAAGATTATGTCGGAGATATCAAGGTCGAGTTTGTTAACTCAAGTGATCAGTTAGCGAGATATTTTTACTAAATCTTTACGGGGTCCTAGAATTGATTATATTTGTAACAAGCTTGGCACATACGATTTGTATGCTCCAGCTTGAGGGGAGTGTTAGATATTGTTTATATATTATTTGATATTGTTAAGATATTGTTAGATATTGGTAACCACAATATCAAACAATATCTTCTGTTTATTCTGTTACTTTCAGTTACTCTTTTAGTTGTATATCTCTACTATAAATAGACTAACCCTATGTGTGATTTATACACGAGGAAATTAATTCCAAACCATATTTTCTCTATATTCAACAGATAACTAATATTACTTTATTTATAATTTATATTTATTAGGTTTCATTATGTCATATTTTTTAGATCTTATTATTTTTATTTGTCATATATCAAATTTTATTTTAATAAAATAATTATTTTAAAGAATTAAAAAGATTAATAATTTAAACATTTATTATTTTGAATTAATTAAATAAGAATTAACTTATTAAATATTTTCTTATAAATAATATATTTTATATTTTTAAATGATAACTTAAAAATGAATTAATTTATATATATAATCAAAATTTTGAATATAATAAAAGTCAACATAAATAAATAAAATGAAGATTTAATTTCTAATCCTAATCGAAATAATTAAAAAAATTGAAAACGAATGTCTAAAATGCAAAATTCACCTTCAACCCATTCCATTGCCATGCTTATGTCATTTGGGCAAGAAGTTGAACATCTAACATTAACTTTTAAGATCATCTCATTTAAACAAAAATTGACCATAAGACCACCCTTCCCAATAAGAAAGTCTTGTCTTTAAGGTAAAAATACTTCAATCAAAATAATATAAATAACAATTTTACGTAGATAATCCTTAATCCAAAATCAAACAAATTACTTAATTTGACAAAAATTTGATGACAAAATCATCTTCAAATATGCTAAAAAATATAATTACTAACTCTCCTTTGAATTCTTCAAAACGAGAATTCTTAAAAAAAAATCAAAATCTAGCTCCAATATATATTTTTTAATTTTTTTCTCCTACAGGACGTAAGTCCGCCAAACAAAACACTTTAAAGAGAAGTAATATTATATACTAATATTTTAAAATAAAATTTTAAGTATGAGTTTTTTTATTTAAATAATTTTTAATTCAAATATAAAAATGGTAAAATTTTACTCTATTTAACTACCTATTATCTCTAAATTATTAAAATATGTATCGGTACAAAACAAATTTATTAAACTAATAATTTATAAATAAAAATAAATAAACGTCTATAACAATAAAAAAAAATCTGTACAACAATAATCTGCGTTTTACTATCTATTGGAAAAAAAAATGTAGAATTCCATCCAATCATATATTATTACAATATAAAATTTTAACCATGAAAAAACTTAACAGATACAAAGAGTTGCCGTAATCTCCTAAATTTATTTTAAATGTTAGTTTAATCATAAAAAAGTTAAACTCAAATTTTTTTAATTAATTATTTTTGTTTGAACATTTTACTCACCATAATTGTTATCTTCCAGGGTTTAACGGAAGTTGCTCGGAGCTACGCACACACATTATACAAATGGACGATGATTCGCAAACATCCACATTTTTCTAAAACATTCAAATGATACTGATTTTATCAGTTTTTTAATTCTCAGATTAAAATGCAAGTTCATAATATAATATTTTAATAAAAAGTAGGTAGTGTGAGGATGGAGATGGAAATGAAGATGTATGTCTAACTTTATATAACCATTCAAAGTTCCGAATGACATCCGAGATGAACCCATATCTATGAAAAAGACAATCAAATTTTGGACAAGATAACTCATTTTTTGGAGACTTTCAGAAACAAGTTTGAATACAAACTGTTGCTAAAAGGGACAAATTTTCTTGTGGCCTGAATTTGATATCCAAAACGGGTAAAATTATGCGTCAGACCAGGAAGACAGAAAAAAATCAGCTTCAAACAAAATTCAAGCTTGGGCTTTTCCAAAGAACATGAGGAGTAAGTGATAATGGTTCCATGAAAAAAAGAAAAAATGTGACACAAATGTGTAATTTTCATAAGGGAACTGCTATTATTACCTATCATGCTAATCATAGTAGAATTTGTCTTCTCCTTCACTCAATGATCTAAACGTAGAAATTGCGAAATTTTGTTACGATATTTGATTTAAGAAAGCTAAAAAAATTTGTTCTCATAAATTATTTTTCTAAAGGAACTAAATCAAGATAATTATCCTTTACTATTTTAGGCCTTGTGCTATATTTCATGGCATTGATATATACAAATCAAAATTCCAGTTAAGAATTGAAATCGTGCGAACATTAAAAAAGTAAGCCCCTTGCAATTCAAGACAAATAAAAGGTTTTTCATGTTAGAAGATTTGTTTATCCAGATTTTTATATCTCAAAAGGAACCCAAAGGTAATGAAATTTCTTAAGATATTTTTTAAAATAAATTTTACTAATATCTATTTATTTAAAGATATATTTTTTTAATCATGTTCAATTTTTTTAACAAACTATTAAATTTAAATATCTAAAATAATTAAGAAAAATAAAATTACAAATATACGAGAGTTTTAGGAGACAATAACCTTTATTATATTCGTTCCTAATTTCATTAATATATTCTATAATTTTAGAGTTTTAGCTTTACTAAGTGGTAAATAATTTGAACAATGGGTAAAAATATATAATGTCATAAGTGGATAAAAAAGTTCCTTACAATAATAAAATTTATCATTTTGATAATAATTAGTTCACTTGACTAGACCAGTTAATTAACACATATAAGCATGAAAAATAAATAAAATTTTATAAAAAAATATATGTATACCGATAAAAATATTATCTTAAATAAAAATATATTTGATTAAAAAATTAGAAAAAAATTTAGAACCTAAAAGTAGAATTTAAAACACTTTTAAATACTAAAATCATATTAAATATAAAATAAATATTATAATTTCTCTTAGAATTTTGATTTTATTTTTTTAACCAATATCCTAGTTTTATCTTAACTTGCTAGTCTATGAAGTTGCCTCCATTATTTTTTAATCCCACCCTTTACTTAGAATTAAGATTATAATCTGTACAAGTATCTAGGTTGTGTTGCCAATTTAAAATATTATGAAATAAAATAATTTTAATCCATTTTATTCCATTTCCCTATCAAACTACTTTTCTTTCTCCATTTTATCGTTTAAAAGTTACAATAAAAAAGAAAAATACAGTTAGTTTATTCTATTTTAGATGCTAAAATATATTTTGCCTTAAGGCCCTATTTAGTAAAAAGAAATATATAAAAATAAAATAGGTTCCAAAAACTAATAATATATATCACCAAAGAAAATATTATATTTTACTCCATAAGAATGTTAATCAAGCACAATTGTTTTCATTATTTGTTTTCTATTCTGTGGTCTCCAGTCTATTAGAATGATTAGATTAGCACATCCTTAGTTTTTCAAAATACAGGATGATGACTTCAGTCTCAAATTAATGTATGAGAGGACATTTTCCTCCAACTAAACCATAAAATAAAATCGAATGAAGGCTCTTTCATCAGTAGCATGCTGCCCATTGCTTAATAAAAGATTTGGTATCATATTATAGATAGATTATGATTATTACTACAAATTAAGATGTTGAAAAGAAAATCCTCACATTTATTTACCATTGAAGTAAACACATAGCTAAGTAACAACACGGGGGCAATAAACATCTATGTTCCTTTGTTTCTCCACGTTTCTAGAAGTCATTGAAGAGTTTGCACAAGCTGGTCAGTCATTTAGTCTCTCCTTTTCTTCTTCCTCTCATTTCTCTCGGATGAATTCTTCAACTGCGAAAGGATGGATATCAGAATCCTTGTTTCAACACCAATTCAAAGGTAGGAGAAGAAAACCAATGAGAAGCTTAGAATGCTATTAACCTGTCAAACTCACCATTATAATAAGAATCCGCACAAAGATTGCAACCAAATCAGTGAACAGATTCAACGCATGCTTCACATAATCCAGGTCACCGAAGTGAGCCATCTCAATAATTTCTTGAGTATCTACTATGACGTAGCCTACAAACACCAAAAGCCCAAAGTACAACTGCAAAAATTGCAAATAAGTACCAGGGAAGATATCTTACATTACAAAACACTGACAAAATATAGAAGGATTTTTTCTAGGTATCTGTCGTACTAGCAAATTGTTAGTTACCTCAAACTTAAAGAGCGCTATTGAGCCACCAAAGAGAGAGGAAGCAAAGTGCAACCACATAAGAATGGACAGCCCAGAAGAAAGCAAACCACCAAGGTAGAGATACTCCCTACGCCTTGCAACTAAAGCTGCCGCAGAGAAACAACCAAAAGCCAAGGAAGTTGCCACGAAAGCGCTAAAGATGAGGCTGAAGAATGGAAGAAAAATGTCAAACCAGCATCCAAAACTCAAAACTAGCCACAGAAGCAACAGCCCATTTGTCACATAGCATTAACTTAAGAAAAAGGTTAGTGCAAGAGGGTAATATAATGCTTGCAAGCTGCAACGCACTCTTTCCAACCTATTCTCCTAGTGTGTTTTGCTACATGTTATCAACCAAAGTAAAGCCAGTAATTCACATCAAATTGAGCAAAGAATGCAGAAGCTACTCTCAGAACCTTCTTGTTTAACACGGATCTTGCCTGGCTAGACGCAGAACCTAACAAGTACTCCAATTGGTATGTCTCATTCCTAAATCTTAACTACTAAGAGTGTATCATTCTATTGCTAACATTCCTCAAAAAAAATAAAAATAAATAAATAAATAAAACGGTAAAAAGAACATTTGGGGGTTATTTGTGGAACAAGGTTTGCATTAAGTGATGATATTCTATTCAGCACACCATCAGCTCAGGCAGGCAATGATACTTATCAGAAGACTCCAATTAAAGTAAACTTTAAAGCAGGTTGTTAATTTATTATACACAGGTATGGATAACAACTCTGTTCAAGGCAACACATGTAACTTAATATGCTCATATGAATATGATCAAAAGCACACTAACCTGAATAAGAAAACATCGAAGAGAAATAAAGGAAAGAGCACAATTAGAACTCCCTCCCCCCGCACCCCCCCCCCACCTCAAACAAGGAAGATGGAAGGACTAAGGAGATCATCATGATTAAGATTAACGCAACTTTCTAAAATATACACCGTAAATTAAAATCATATGCCTCCACAAGTAAGCGAAGAACACAGCCAGAATGTTCAAGAGAGACATACATAGCATCAATGACTCTTAAATAACAATGATAAATCAATAGTAAGTGTTAAAAAAAAGCAACAAAAGAATCATACCTAGGATCGATGGCTATCGCCAATTCAATCAGAGGTCCAATGGAAGCGCCCTGAAACAGGGCCGAAGCCATCAACAGAGACAACCTCTTTTGCTGCAAAACACAAAACAAAGAGTGAGAACAACGTAGCATAAGACTTGCGGAGCAGAAATCGGGTACAATCATATTCAAACCTCTTCAAAAGGGGGCGTTGATAGCAACCAAACCATGGTTCCAATAGACCCCACCGTAGTGAGAAAACCCCCAATGTTCCATAATACATGAAGAAAGGCTCCAACAGCAGCAGCCACCACAGCGCAACATAACGTAAAATAAACCTGAAATCAACCAATCAATCAATAACGATTCTGCATACATGTACAAAATGAAAATAACCGTTTACATCCCCAATATCAAATTCCAATCTGCGGGGAGACTTAATTAGTAATTACCCGTTTGATGTGATTCCGAACCACCGGAGAGATCTCGCGGAAATTCTTGAGAGTATCGTAACTCCACCGACTTCTCGAAGACGATTGGGAATTGAAGAAAGCCTCCATTGAGAACAAGGAATCGTATCGCTTTCGTAATACAAACACACAAGCACAATTGATTAGAGACGAAGAAACCCACGCATTTATAAAGAGTGCGGGCTTTTATTATTTATTTATGTTGGCTCGGCTTCCACGAGAATTCTAGTTCTATCCAGAAAGAACCACACGATTCATCAGGGCGCGTCCTCGCTCATTAAGAGCACGCGCTACATTTTCCTTTTTCTTACATATGTTTTTTCGAAAAAACAACAAAAGTGCATAACAAAAAAGGAAAAAAAAACTTGAATAACTTTTATTCAAAATAATATTATTATGTATTTGCTCGATTACATAATAATATGTAATTACAAATTAATTGGTAAGAAAATTATGTTTTAATATTAAAATAAATAAATTGAGCCTCCTATTTTTACTTATATATAATTAATCTAATTTGTGAAAAAATATTATTATTAATATAAATATTAGATGAATTTGTGAAACTAATAATCCAAATTTATTAAAATTATTTTGTTATATAATTATCTTATTAATTATTTTTATATATTAATTTATATTAATTATTATTTTTTAAGTTATCAATTGTCATCTTTAAATCTTATATAATTAAATTTATTTTATTTATTTATTTTATTTATTTATTTTTATATATTATTTTGATATTAATTATTATTTTTTTACTTTATATAAAATAATATTATAAATTCATTCAAATCATTTTATTTAATTATTTAATTATATATTATTTTATTAATTATTTTTATATATTATTTTATATTATTTGGACGATTAATTAGTTATTATTTTTTTATTTTATATAAGAAGACTTATTCACTTAAATCTATTAAAACTATTTTATTTAATTATTTTTTATATGTTATCAGTTATTATTTTATGAAAATATATCAAAAGACTTATTTAATCTAAATTTATTAATATTATCTTATTTAAATTATCTTGTCTTATATATATATATATATATATATATATATATATATATATATTATGAATTTTATATAAGGAGACCTATTCCTAATTCATTAAAATTATTTTTTTTATTTATTTTATTAATTATATTTTATATGTTATCTTATATTATTTATTATTATCGGTTAAAATCTTATTGATTATATGTAAGGAGACTCGTACATAAAATAAATATTACTTTTATTACTCATTTTTATGTCAAAATATATTTTACAAATAACAATATTTTTTTCAAATGAAACTATTTTCAAACATATTGAAATCTTAACTCAAAATTTAACCTATTATCCTCGCTTCAACCTCACACCAAGTTGAGCTTCTCTGATTTCATAAAAATAATAAATAAAACCTTAGAAGATAATATCAAATTAGTAATTATTATTACATTATAAAATAAATCACTTCAATATAATAAATGTTGGATAAATCAAATTTATATAAAGAATTATCCAAGAGTTAATTATTTATAATAGTATAAAATAATTATATTAGATGGAAAAGTAATTTAATAAATTTTTTGTTAGATGGAGTAACTTATTATAGGATATTAAAGGAAGAACAAGAGGTAGGAAAGGGGAGGTAGCATGCCACTGTTATGTATGCTTTTTTTTTTAATATAATAATATTATTATGCAATAAAACTTTGTAAAGAAGTTTTTCTTATTCACAGTAAAATTTTTCTTATATATGTGCATACAGAAACAAGGGAGGAGGCATAATCTAAATTTTCCTCTTATCCTTCTTCTTCTTTTGTCTAAATTTCAAGCAACGATATTTTATTCGTGCAGGATCTAGTGAAATGGGAGAGAGTTTGAATTAAGGGGAAAAACTTCGGTAGAAATATCACACTAGGTAAGGGGAAATTTAATTTATTCAATATATGAAATTGAATTGATGGGTACTCCGTAAATAGGGAATAGGAGTAGAAATATGAATTATTTGAATGTCCGATTTTGAAGAATTTTTTATTCTAATGAACTGTTCACCGTTTGAAAGTTTTTAAAATTCTTAAAATTAAGGATGAATTATATGGTAAAATTGTTGTTTTCAACTTAAATTAGATATAATTTATGTTTTATTTGAATTTGGGACTAGTTTGATTGTCTAAAATCGAGTAATTTGAAATCTGCTAAAATCGCAAATTTTGATACTTGTTATCTGCGAGGAAGAAGAAAGGGACATGGAATTTTTTTGAAAATGTTCAAGGGTAAAATAGTCATTTTCGGGATATGGAAGGAATTTTTGAAAATGTTCAAGGGTAAAATAGTCATTTTTGAGACATGGAAGAAAATTTTGAAAATATTAGGGTAAAATAGTCATTTTCGGGACATGGAAGGAATTTTCGAAAATGTCCAAGGGTAAAATAGTCATTTAGGGACATACATGAAATTTTCAGAAAAGATTAAGGATAAAATAGTAATTTAATGATTTTGGAAAAAATTTCGAAAATGATTTCGGAAAAAAAGAAGAAGAATATATATATATATATATATATATATATATATATATATTTAAAATATAAAATGAAGGTAGCGAGTTTTAAAGATTTAGTATTGTGTTGTAATGTGTGTGAGTCAGACTGAGTCTAAGGGCTGATGCCCATAATCAGTCATGAGATGTTATGTATTAGCTAGACTGAGCGGGAAGATTGGTGTCCAGAATTAGTCAAGTACTATTATTTATTGACTGGAATGAGCCATGAGGACAAGTGGTCCAGAATCCGGCAAATGTGAATGATTTTTGTTGTGTTTGAATGGTATCCGGGGTGGTACAAAGTACTTTAGTGTAATACCTATGTCGGAGGATTCAGAATGAGGTCCCAGACTTCACTGATTGGTCGGGTCAGGTAGACTACAAGATCAGATGGTGAGAAGTCGATGGGGATGACTGGTGGCACGCTTGGAGGGGTACTTCAGTATGAGTGATGAAGGACGACAGTAATCCTACTCTGTGTGGAGGGTGGTCAGAATGGTACTGCGGGTGCCAATCACAATGTGCTCACAAATGATAGCCTCTAAGTTCGGCATAGTTAGGGTAGACTTTCGGAAGACGTCTTAGTGTATTAATGATTTGTAATTGATGATAATATGTAATTATTACTTATATACCTGTTTTATTATATCGAATGATTTAATACTTACCCCTATTTTTCTATGTGGATGAGACTGTAATGATCACTTTTATGTGGGAGCAGATCATGAGTTGAGAAGTGAAGATGCGACTACTGACAACAGAGATAGTTTAGTGGGATAACTTTGTGAGAGCTACTTTTACATGTATAATATAGTAATATAATGTAATAGAGATGTTGTTATTTACTTGTTTACTATTTTGCAAATGTATCATTATAGTAGCGATCTCTAGGTTGTTACAGATCACACGCCACCCTAATTTTATTTTTTTAATATATATATATATATAATTATTTTTTAAAAATAAAATAAAATATATTTAATAAATATAAATAAAATTTATATTTATATTTTTTTCTTAATTTTTTATTTATATTAAATATCATATTTATTTGTACATAATTTCCATTTTTTTTCTTTTTTTCATATTTTTATCTCTTTCTCTCGTCTTTTTATTCTCTTATCAACTTTTTTATATTTTCTCTTTTTATATCTTTATCTTTTATTTTTATCATTGCATATTTTTCTTTTTCGTGTTTTTATTTTATAACATAAAAACTAAAAAATTTTATCTTTAATTTTTAATTTTTTATAATTTAATCTCTATAACATAAAAATTATAATTTATTATTCTTTAATTTTTTAATTTTTTTATTCAAAAAAATATAAAACAAAAAATAAAAAAAAATTAGGTACGTCACAATGTTGTTTCAAAGTAAAAAATTAAGTAAAAAAATTTATTTTATTTATTATTATAACACATCAATACATTACTTGTAATATAAAAATACAAAATATTGATATAATTTATTTATTTTTTATAAATTAAATAATATTTTATAATATATTATTTTAATATTAAATATGAATAATATTAAATTTAAATAAAAAAGATTAATTTAAATTTTAATAAATTTTTTAAAAAAATTATAGACTTATTTTAAAAATATTAAAACAATTTTATATTTTAAAATTTAAATTTAATAAATAATATTGATATATAATATATTTATTTTTATATAATAATTAAATTTTATATGTTAGTTTTTAAATTAATTTATATTTGGATGCCCAAACTTAATATTATATTTACATCAAGGCTTTTGCAATTTTTTTTTCTCGTGTTGACTTCATCTAGTGTTACTTCTATACTTTCGGTAGTAGTAATTAAAGAGTCAGTTTTTATTATTTATAGTATTAAGATAAAAAAATTAATGAATTTGTTAATTTTTATTTTATTTTAATCAGGGAGATTTGTAGAATGAAGGCACTGAAATTTACTGGCACATTACCTTTTCAACAAGGCCTACGTGACCCATTTTTAAAATGCGCTCGATTTGTCTCGTTATTATCTCTTCGGTTATAACAACAACTTATATGGGATATAAATTATGCAATAAATTGATTAACTATATCTCAAATTCATTTATGTCTTTAATTTATTTTTTCAAATAACAGATTTTCAGTTAAAAAATAAAAAAACGTTAAGAGAATGTCTAATACACCACAAATATTTTTTATATCGGGACTCATACTTACTAGAAATATTAAAATATAATTGATTAATAAAAAATATTTTTTATATATTTTTATTGATTTTATGAAAATAAAAAAGTAATAATAAATTTCTTTTAATTAGTTGTAAGATTAAATAATCTAATAAGAAAAAAAAACACATTTTAACCGCAGTCCAATTTTTTTTTTTTTTTGAAGTTAGAGTTTTATCTCCCATGACCCGTTTGTTTCGAGGGTAGATTATATATATATATATATATATATATATATATATATATATATATATATATATATATATATATATATATATATTACAGTAATGTAATTAAAAAATAATATTAAAAAAATTGAAATTACTAAAAATAAGTGCTAAATAATGTCAACAAGAGTTATTAAGATAACATTTCATCCGTACCCACTTGTTAACCCACGTCAAGACATGAAATTGAAATCATTTTTCATTTTTAACAAAAACTCTTTAATTTAATTAGAATAATAAAATAAATATAAACTAGACGTTTATTTTTATTTTTTTTATGAAACTATAATTTTTTTTTGTTTAAAATAAAATATTTATCCTTCACACGCCTTGAAGAATTAAAGAGAAAAAACCTAGGAAAATTCGTGGCTTATAATTCACGATTGAGCCAGCACTCCTCCACGTAACTTGCCCAATAACAATTTGACAAGTCAGGTCCGGAATGTTGCAAACTTGGTACCATCCTTAAAATTGTAAAAGTCAGGAGAGATTTATACAAAGGAACAGAAGGTCTTTTTCATCATACACGCACACAAAATATTAAACTAGTGGTTTTATAGAATAGTACTAACTAGGTTTGGTGCCTTGATTGTTCCTTGCAATAGCTAAGAAAATGTGAAAAACGAAGAAAAATCCCATTGAATAGGAAAATAAACTTTACAGTTAATGGGAGGAAAGGGTCTGCATGCAAAGGTTCTGAACAGAGTGAAATCATTCTCTTGGTGGTGAAGACAGTGAAAGTTTTAAAAGTAAACCAGTCAACAATCCAATCAGACCCACGAACAATGCAAAAGTGAAGGAAAAGCCTGGATCCCCTCGACGACTTTTTCGCCTTTTCAGCATATCCTACGCACAAACAAAAACAGATACAGATCAGGATTGGTGGAATTTTTGTAATTTGATATCAATTTCAGATGTTTGAATGTCAACTTTCACTGATCAAATTTAAGAAGAAAACAATTTTTTTTTCTTGAAAACGCTTATCGGTAAGTATGTCCGAACATAAAAGAAGTTTACTGTTATTATGATTTTTTGTCAATTACACGTTTAGTCACTCACTCTGATTACATTTTTGGAAGTAAAAATCTAGACTGAATCTTGAGTTCTTTACCAAAATCTTATTATAAAAAATAATGCAGAGAAGAAAAACGTTAGTAACATATTTCTTACTGATGAAACAAATAAAATAATCAACATGAAATTCATCCATTAATAGTGTGTTAAAAAGAATTTGTCAAAGAATGTATTGTTAGTCGTTGGTAAGGCATGGAAATATAGCTTAATTACCAATTCCTGTTGCAGTTGCCGCGTTTGCAAGACAACAGCATCTCTCTCCTCCTTCAGGTGCAGTACGGTCTGACTCTTCAAACAAAGTCAATTTCATTTAAGAACCAAAACCAAAATAAAGGTATAGAAGTTTGATCTTGGAGTTTTAAATGCTTCAGTTCATATTTGCAGGAAACAATTCATACTAATGAAGTAAAAAGCATATAAAATAGCAGGTAATGTTTTAGAGGTCACCACTCAAATTCAAACAGAGCTCATCATCAAGCACCCACTAATTCATTTATTGACAAAAACAGAGTGTAAGAAATAGTAATTTGTTCACATATGCTCCTTTGCCAGCAGCCAAGGCAACAAAGATAAGCTTTAAATTTTAATATTATTAATGTTTTGATTTCACAACCAAAAGTAATACATCTCAGCTTCAGTTTAAAACATATAGCCAGTCTCTTGAAGGGTCATAAAATGGTAATTGAATCTCACAAATTATCTATATTAAACCAATTGGAGACCAAAGCATGATTTTTTTTTTTAAATACTTATATCACAGTGAATCTATACCTAGAGTGCATAATCTGCTATGTGGTCTATGCCATTAAAGCTGATGAAACGCATCTATACTTTCCATGTCTCTTCTTGCCTCTTCATATATTATTTTTAATTTATCAACTATTGTTTCCTCTAGTTCCATCTTGCAGTCAATATTATACTGTGTATCTACAAGATGGAACAAAATCTGTGACCAAACCCAATAATTATGTTATCATCCAAGTAAATCAGGATACAACCTAGAGTAAACTAAGTCAAGTGCGAGCTATAGAGTAGATGATCTTTCTGTTTCCACTTGTCCAAGTGATCCAAAGAAACCCTTTAATCTGCTTTGTTAGGCTTAATCCGTTACAAATATTTGAAGTTTATTTGCAGTTTGAAAAGAGACTACACCCGGATATGGAGATGAGATTCCATCTTGATATATAATATGCAACATATCTTTAGACACATGAAAATTACCAATTTGAGAGGAAGCTTAAAAAACAGAAACTTCAAACTGATTTTCCAAAGGGAGGGTGAATAGGAGAAACTCACAGAATAAGAATCAAGTTTATGGGTCTTGGCTGTATCATATTCTGTGCTTCCGTTGGGTGACGTAGGAGAGATATATACCACTCTTAGTTTCAAATCCTCTATTGACTTTTCACTATCCTTAGTAAACTGCAAGCCCAAAAAAGCAATGTTCTTGATCAATTTATTTTTCCCTTTTAAATTTTAGAACTCAACCTGTATAATAACGACATTATTGGCTCTCTCACAGTGTCTGGCGGAAGATCATCAACATCGGTGTTTGGATTCACTACTGTACTCTGTAAGAGAAATTTATCCTTGCATTGCATATCTGGAGGGTATTCTTGTAGGGCCTGGAGGGTGACTGCACAACACAAATCGGTGCATATGATAGAGATGCTAAATCCACATAATAGTAAAGAGGTCAAAACTCATAAGCATATAGCATTGAAAGTTGCATACAAATTATTGGCTTTCCACCTGAGCTTTATTTAAATGAACTTGAAGAATATAATAAGATATAAAAAACTCAAGTTGTTATACTCTAAAATCAATATGTATAGAAGTTTTCTCCTTTAAATTTGTTCTGTCACAGCTTAATTTTAATTTATGAGAAAAGTTTAATTTATTTAATCTTTTTTTGTCTTTTATAAATACTCATGAAAAATTTATTCAAACAAAACTTTAGCAATATATCATTCCTGGTTCTTAGTTATGAAGGAAAAAAAAATCAATTTTTGTTTCCTTTGATTGGTTGAAGTTCCCTGTCTCCACTATTCTTACTCGACTAGTTTAAAAAAAATTCCCTTTTTCCTTTCTTTCTACACATGTCTAATGTGAAACAACATTTTGCAACTTATGTCTACTATAGTTAGGCTTTCAGTTATTTGTTCTATATCCCCTGAAAAAAATACAGAGGGCCTCTGTATCTTCAGTGGTCCAACATTTCAAATTATCGAAGATCTGATCCAAGTTGATTAATATATAAGAGTAACTGGACTTAATGTTTTCTGCAAAGTTCAGAAGACGCACCTCTGATGATACACGAGTCCCATGGATGTACAACACCAGTATTAGGCCGTACAAAGTACTTCTTTGGCGAAGTGGTTTTGACCTAGAAAAAAGCAAAGTAGCACTGAAATCAAATGCAATCATGCACTGAGTAACAGCAACAGGAAAGCACGCCTGAAACAAAAGTTTGTCGCTGTAAGAGAGTCAACAGTGTGTACCTTAAAGGCAACGTAGTGCTCTGTGTTATTCAGAACTTTTAGATCGCAATATGTCTGCTTGTCCAGCTCAACTGTTTACATGAACATTACCATCATAAATGCGTAACCAAACAATAACTTAAATTAGTTTGGGGAGGAATTATTCTGCTTTACAAACACTACATAAATTTATATGCATTGCCCTCGTACATCAAAAGATTTTTCACTGTTTTGATTTACCTAATAGGGAATTCCCAAATGAAGTTTTTAAGCTTTATTTGTAACGTGTGAAGAAACGATATATATAAAGAAATATAAAGAAAAATAAAATAAATAAAAAATCATACATAATAATGTAATATATTGGGTTGTCAAAAATAAGAAATAAATAGGTATTTTTAATATTATAATTGGTTATAATATATATATATATATAATAAATAATTAAGAAACAACATTAATAACTAATAAGTAATAAGTAAAATTATCAATAATAAATAAAATCATTTTTTATTTGCCTTTAATCAAACATCATATCATTCAATTATTATTATTATTATTATTATTTTTTTTTCAATTCCTCTTTGTAAAAAAACTTCTCATTTCATGATAATATTTAAATACCAATGCTCAAAAGAATTAAAATTTTAGTTATACTAGTTTCACTTTTCAAAATTTTCCCATATATGAGTCATTCAAATCCTTCATTTATTTATTGGTTGAATAATTAATGTCACCGCACAACGCTGATAGAAAGTCTAAAATGTTTTAATTTCCCTACCCAGATATCATTGATCCCAGAAGAAAAATGTAAATCTTGTAGAAACGCAATTGGGGTCTGTTTCTATGTATATTGAAAAATGGTTTGCGTGAGAGAAAGGAAAAGGAGAGAGAAGAGCGAGAGGGTGCATACCTTGGAAGCGAAGCTCATCAGGGTTAACGGTTATCAACGAATTTGCAACAGAAGCTGTCATGACGAAGAGATCAAAGTTTGTTCTACGATGAGAAATGAAGAGGTAGCAGGAGGAACATGCAGAAAACGAAAGGGTGCGCGAGTGGAGCGAGAGAGAGAAAGAAGAGAGAAAATGGAATTGCGGTTACAACATGCGGTGGAGCGAAGAACATGGGAACAGAAGGCTGAGAAAGCAGTCTTGTACGTAGCGAATTCCAATGCTATGTTTTTGTTGGGTGTCGTGCCCTCCGTTTCCGGTTCTGGAAGGAAGGGAACATGAGTTTGGTTTGGTGTAGTGTGTTGCGCACCCCAACCTCTCTTCAATGGGTATGTATGACGGAATAGAACATTCCGACACGTGTCCAATGGAGTACAACAATAATAAATTATTAAATTTATTATATTCTATAGATAATTAGATATAGGTACGTAGCATAGTTGTTCTGAGAGATATATTAATTACACAATTAATCAATTTTACATTTTAAATTTAGAAAAAAATTAAATATTTTCAATATTTAACTCTAAAAGCATAATAATAAATAAATTAATTAAAATTTAAAAATTAAATTAATATTTTTGTTAAAAAAGTTAAGTGTGTGGAATTGTAAAAATTCACCTGTATAAGAGATGCATTGAATAATTAAATTATATTTTGTTAAATTATGATAATAGATTTTAATATTATTTTATTTAAAAATAGAGTATCTTACCATCATATTTATTATAATAATATATTTAGAATATATAGTTAATATTAATTCTTTTTATTTAAAAATTTTAATATATGACAATTTTATTTTTAAAAGATATTTTATAAATTAAAAGAGAATATATATATATATATATATATATAAATTAAATTTAATATCGACACTTAAATAATATTAAATTTATAATAAGATAAATAAATATATAAGAAACTCAAAACCTCGTGAATCAATCATAAAAATACATAAATGATACAAATGATAAAGTTAAAGAGATACGCATTCAAATGATATATATTTTGAATTAATTATTTAATTATATATAAATTTTAAATAATGGACCAAACAATATAATCATTACTATTACGAATGAATTCAAATTTATTCTTCTTCAAATACTCAATTTAATAATTCATTTATAACACGATATATAAACACCTATTTCACTATCATGATTTGTATAAGAAAAGTATCTATATTTTTGGTGATTTTGATAAAAAAATAACCATGTTCATCAAATCTAAATACTACATTCATTAATATAATCCATTGTTGTCTTTTTAATAATTAACTTATAGTTATCTTTTTAAATATAAATTATTTTATATTAAGATTAACAATATCAAATAAATCATGAGTTGAATGTCATTATATATATAATAATTCAATCTATAACAAAATATAGAAACACTAATGCATTCTCATATTCAAGATTTCCAACCATTGAAAATATTAAACATAAACATTAAAATCACTAATAAAGATGGAGAAACTCATATATATTTAGATGATCAACATTAATATTTGAAAGTTGGATAGTTATGTTTAATCTCTAGATAAACTAATAAAATATGATGATCAAGTAACTAACACTTTTACCAATTTTAAGATTGTATTAAAAATGTTATATATTTTAAAACAATAATTATGTATGTTTGCACCAATTCGTTAATTCGTTTTTCTCAATGTTGTTTTCATTTCAAGAAACATATTTTTAGCTTTTAAATTTACTGAAAGTCTATATAATCCATTAATTTTTAAACTACTCAATTTTGTAAACTAACATTAATTAAAGATTAAGGTTCTATCAACAAATTAAACACGATAAAAATGTATATATTTATGTTAAAAATATTATAATCAATCATAATCTCATAGTTATATAGTCATAAGCAGTAAATTTCATTAGTAGCTAAATGATAATTTTAAAATTAATATTATTAGTTAAATAGTTTTTAAATTATCAATAATTAGCTAATTGATATTATAAAATAGAATGGAAAATTAACATAGTTATTTTTACATCAATATAAATATTACCCATCATGCATTAACAATAAAATATTGGACCGATTTTGTGATAAAGAATTACAGGGAACCACCGACTAAGAATTAAGGTTCACATCAAAGTGATAATACTAAATGGACAGTATTTCCTAGTTTTTATTATTCAGAAACAATTTTTGATTTTTTTAGTTTTTAAAATCAGTAATTTTATAATTTAAATAAATCTCAAATTTTTTATATATTTTTATTAAATTCACGATTATGTGTTACTTTAATTAATTTAATGATAATTAATAAAGGCACAATTGAAAAATCGACTTCTAAATTTTTAAGTCATAAAAATATTTGATACATTATATGGATCATTTAATACGAAATTATTTTATCTTTATTAAGATTAATTACACAACTTGTATCGGAGATGGAGTAAAACTTCAGATACTCTGTTCCCCACCTTGAGGCCAGAAAATCCCAGCGTCATTTCAGACGGAATGGGACTGGTGGAAACAGCACCGCGACTTCAACGCCTCATGTGTCTGTATCATTTCAACACGTGTGTAAGATACGTTTTCATTATTATTTTATATTATAGTTCTACTAGTTATACTACAAACAAAATAAATTCATGCCAAAAGAAAATTAGAAAAGAAAGCATGACAAAAGACATGTGTAGCCGCCAAAGTGAACGGTGGTGACGGCCGAGTCATTCTACATCACCCGTCTCAAACTCCACGTGGCAGTCTCTGAATTCATCAACCATTGCGACGTTTGGCCCTCTCGCCATTCTCGCTCCCCCCTCTATTCCCTCTCCCCCAAAAGCTTTTCGCTTTCAACACTCCAATACCAACCAACCGCTCCCATCCGAACAACAAGATCAACCATGTCTCGCCATTGCAACCTTTGTGCCGGAACCCCACCTGGGATTCTGCTAATACGAGCCAAAGAATGGAACTTCCACACGCACCGCTACATGGTGCTGTTCATCACCTTCCTGGCCTACGCCTGCTACCACGCCTCCAGAAAACCCACCGGAATAGTGAAGAGCGTGCTGTGCCCGGAACGCAAGAGTTCGAGGGAGGGTTGGAGCCCCTTCAACGGTCACGATGGAACCTCAAAGTTGGGCGAGATCGACGTGGCGTTTCTCGCGTGTTATTCCATTGGGATGTATGTGGCGGGTCACTTGGGAGATACCCTGGACCTTCGCTTGTTCCTCGCTACCGGAATGGTCGGTAGCGGCATGTTCGTCGGGCTTTTTGGATTGGGGTACTTCTGGAACGTCCATAATTTTTGGTTCTACCTCTTCATGCAGATGATCGCCGGCATGTTTCAAGCCACGGGTTGGCCTTCGGTTGTTGCAGTTATCGGTAACTGGTTCGGGAGGAGGAAGAGGGGGCTTATTATGGGGGTTTGGAACGCGCATACTTCGGTTGGTAACATTACTGGCTCTCTTCTTGCTGCGAGTGTTTTGGATTTTGGGTGGGGGTGGTCTTTTGTTGCGCCTGGAGCTTTGATGGCGTTTGGTGGGATCATTGTTTATTTGTTCTTGGCTCCTTACCCCGAGGACGTGGGGTTCTCTTCTTCTTCTGTTTATGGCGGTGATGAAGAAGCTCAGGTGAATAAAAATATTGATCGTGTTCCCAGAGAATCGTCTGTGAATAAAAAGAGCATTGGGCTTGTTGATGCGTGCATGATTCCAGGAGTGGTACCTTTTGCGTTGTGCCTTTTCTTCGCCAAGCTTGTTGCCTACACGTTCTTGTATTGGTTGCCCTTTTACTTGACTCAGACAGGTAATGATTGATCGTGAGATTTTATGGTGTAGCTCTCCAATTAATATAAAAGGTATTTTCTCGGTTGGGTGAATTGATGAGAGTTGAAAATATTTGTTATTTGTTCATGCAACTTTTCCTTTTTCCTGTTTGTGGAGGACCTATGGTTTTGATCCGTGTTTTGTTTGTTTTTTTGTTGAGCAATTTTTAAAATTAATTAGCAGTGGAAGTTACTTGCATAAGAGTTTGCTCACTTTATCTTATCAAATGTTCACTCTTACAAATTGCACTTAAGTTATGGATATCATATGTTTTATTTGATGAAAAATTCAATCACTGTCTCTGTATGTGCATAAATAGCTATTGTTTTCATTATTATATGACTGCAATTTGACTGAAGTGATTAATATTGACCAAACCTTGGGATTTAATATTTTTCGGTAATTGTTGTTCATAATAACTGTTAACCCTTATAGCTTTAATTAGTATTCCTCTTTGAATACTTTGGGTGACTACTGTGACCCCAGTTTAATGTTCTGTTTAGTTTTTTGGTTAAAAGCCTATCACAATCTATCTTCTGGACATTTTCGTGTAGACAAAACAAGTTGTTTATAGATCATGTAAACAATTTTCATTATCATTCAACTACCATATCCAATCATTTATGCCAAGTTATGTATGATAATTTTGCAGACTTTTACAAATCTATTTTAAAAACCATACCAACAATGATTTCTGATTGGTTGATGATTTAAATCTTTTAAACTGGCAGCATATAAACATCAAAGAAAACTTCAAAACTTCTGTATTTGATGATTTGTTGGTTATATCCCTCTTAATTAAGTCATTCCTAATGGTAAGCAATCATTAGAAAAAAAACCTACATGGCAAGTAAATCCAAGGCATTGAAACTATGCTCTATCCATTTTGTGAACGTGAAAAGTCATCACTGTTACATTGAGCAGTGAAGACAGTTAATATCATCTGACATGGTTTGTTTGTTAGAGAAGTCTCACTCTTCCTATAAATAGGAGTTTTGAGAGAAGATCAAAAGACACATTATTGGTAAGATCCAATTGAGATAGTTGTGAGCCAAAAACAAACACTGTAATCCTCCTTAGGAGAGAATATGTAATCTTCTGAGATAGAGAGACTTTGAGTTATCCTTTTGTAAAGAGAAAGTTCTTATTGTAATCCTATTTTTTATAATGGAGATATTTTTTCACTAAGCCTACTTTAAGTTACTCAGACGGAAGGGGAATCTGTATTATTTCGTTGCAATCTTCTATAATTTGACGTTCCCCAACAGTGATATCAGAGCTCACTCTTGGTTAAGGGGAGCTCAAGCCTGTGTGATTTAAGATGGAAGGAGTCATTTCCCATGATGGAGATATGTTCAAGTTGACTTCAGACAATTATTCATATTGGAAGCCCATGATGGACGATAATTTGTATTGTAAAGAGTTACATGAGCCCATAACATGTAATATAAAACCGTAGGAGAAAACAGAGAAATAATGGGAGTTTATGAATCGGAAAGCCGTGGCAATGATTCGGAAGTATATTGATAGAAGTTTGTTCGAGCATGTGTCGATGTACACTAATACTTATGAGCTATGGTCTAAGCTTGAATCCATGATTCAAAAGAAGACGCCCAGAAACAAAGCTCACCTACCTAGTCAGACGATTGGTGAAGTTAGAGTATAAGGATGGCCAATGTATGATGGAGCACCTTAATGCGTTCAAAGGTGTTGTAAATCAACTGTCTAAAATTGAGATGAAGTTAGATGATGAGTTACAAGCCCTTTTACTCCTTAGCTCGTTGCCTGAGAGTTGGGACACGTTAATGGTCACCCTCTTAAACTCCGTTCCAGACGGAAAGCTCTCTATGGACACCGTTTTCGATAGTCTGATGAATGAAGAATCCAGACGGAAGGAGCGTGAAACCTCTTCAGTCTGAAGCAAATATTATTGAGAGACGAAACAGAAGTGAGTCCTGGAGAAAGAACGATTTTTATGACAGAGGAAAGAGCAAGAATAAGGACCACTCTAAGTCTCGTGTCAAAGTAACCTGCTACTACTGTGGCGAAGGAGGTCATATAAAGTCTGAGTGTAGATTTTATAAAAGAGACCAAAAATCTAGGTCAATCCATGAAGACCAAGTGGAACCCAAGAAGAAGAATGACAAGTCTGCCGCTGTTGTCTCAAACAACGAGGATATCTTCCTGATTGGAGAGGATAATTACCTAAATGTTGCTCATAGTGATTGCACGTGGATTGTTGATTCCGGTGCATCTTTCCATGTGAGTCCAGATGAAAGATACTTCTCAAATTACAAGAAAGGAGATTTTGGCACAGTGAAAATGGGAAATCATGTCACAAGCAAAATTGTTGGCATAGGAAATGTCGTTCTAATGACAGACGCAAGTGAGACATGTACCAGACATGCATCTGAACCTCATCTCTATTAGGAAGTTAGATGATGAGGGTTTGGTAAGTCATTTTGGTGCTGGCAGGTGGAAGCTTGTCAAAGGTAGCATGATTGTCGCTAAAGGAACAAAAGAAGGATCCTTGTACATCACGCAAGGCAAAGCGTGCAATGGAGAAGTTAATATAGCATATGACCCCTCAGATCTTTGGCACAGACGATTGGGCCATATGAGCGAGAAAGGATTGTAGATCCTTGCCAAAGATCATCTGCCCAACATAATTGGAAAACTGCTTGAATCATGCACTGACTATTTGGCTGGAAAGCAAAGCAGAGTAAGTTTCCAAATATCAAACGAACCCTCAAGGAGGAAAGAAGCCCTTGAGCTAGTACACTCAGACGTTTGCGCACCGTCTGAAAGATCCCTTGGAGGAGCATTCTATTTTGTAACCTTCACTGATGACTACTCTAGGAGAGTATGGGTCTATCTGCTGAAAACCAAAGACCAAGTTCTCCAAGCCTTTAAGGAATTTCATGCTCTGGTAGAGTGTGAGACTGGACAAAAGTTGAAGTGTTTAAGAGCAGATAATGGTGGAGAGTATCATGGTCCATTTGAAACATATTGTCGATCTCATGGAATCAGACTTGAAAAGACCCCACCAAAGACTCCTCAGTTGAATGGCGTGGCTGAAAGGATGAACAGAACCATTGAAGAGAGGGTAAGATGCATGCTGAATCATGCAAATCTACCTAAGTCCTTCTGGGGTGAAGCTGTAAAAACTGTTGTTGGTCTGATAAATCTCTCACTATGACGACCTTTGAAGAGAAAAATTCCAGAGGAAGTATGGTATGGGAAGAAGCCTTCTTACAACCATCTAAAGGTGTTTGGATGCAGAGCCTTTACTCATGTTCCCAAAGATGAAAGGAAGAAGATGGATGCTAAGACCAAGGAATGCATATATCTTGGATCTCCAAAAGATGAGTTTGGTTTCAGACTCCTGTGAACAAGAAGATTGTTAGAAGCAGAGACGTAGTGTTCTTTGAAGACCAAACCATTAAAGACTTCCAACAAAAAGGGGAAGTTAAATCCAAAGAACACATTGTTGATCAGATGATTCCTTATCCTGTTCAAACGATGCCCAATCCTGATCAGACAATAATTGATGATCAGACGATGGAAGAACCTGACCAGACGACAGATGAAGCTCAGATGAATCCTGACGCTCAGACGATGCAAGAAGAGCACATACAATCTGAGCCCAGACGATCAACAAGGACAAGATTGCCTTCTTCAAAGTATCCTCCAGACGAATACGTTACACTCACAGATGAAAATGAACCTCAAAGCTTCTCAAAAGCTATGGAGACGAAAGAAAAGGATGAATGAATGAAAGCCATGAAAGAAGAGATGAACTCGTTGCATGAGAATCAGATGTTTGACCTTGTAAACCTACCTGAGGGTAGACGAGCTCTGAAGAACAAATGGGTGTACAAGATAAAGTCTGAAGAAGGAAGTTCAAAGTCCAAGTACAAAGCACGGATAGTGGTGAAGGGCTGTAACCAAAGGAAAGGCATAGACTTTGAAGAAATTTTCTCGCCAGTGGTGAAGATGTCATCCATAAGAGTAGTCCTAAGTCTGGCAACCTTCCTAGACTTAGAGATAGAGCAGCTTGATGTGAAGACTCCATTCCTACATGGAGATTTGGAAGAAGAAATCTACATAGAGCAGCCTGAAGGCTATGAGAAACTAGGCCAGGAGCACCTTGTGTGCAGACTAAAAAAGAGTCTCTATGGTCTGGAACAAGCCCCCAGACAATGGTACAAGAAATTTGAAGCCTTTATGACCAAGCACAGTTTCTCGAGAACTTCGTCTGATCCCTGTGTTTTCATAAAGAGATATGGAGATGGAGATTTTATTGTACTGTTGTTGTATGTGGATGATATGCTGATTGTAGGTCATAATAAGAGCAAGATTGATAGTATGAAGAAAGCCTTGAGCAAGTCTTTTGTCATGAAAGACTTAGGACCTGCAAATCAAATCTTTGGAGTGAAGATTATTAGAGATCGTTCCAAGAAGTTACTGTGGCTATCTTAAGAAAAGTATGTTGACAAAGTCCTAAAGAGGTTTAACATGGACAAGGCAAAGCCTGTAAACGTTCCTCTTGCTGGACACATGAAGTTGAGTCAGACGCAATGCCCATCATACGAAGAAGAGAAGATGGAGATGAGCAAGGTGCCTTATTCATCTCTTGTAGGCAGCCTTATGTATGCCATAATCTGCCCAAGACCAGATATTGCTTATGCAGTTGGAGTTGTGAGTCAGTTCTTGTCAAGCCCCGGTAAGGAACACTGGAATGTTGTGAAATGGATACTGAGGTATCTAAGAGGAACTACCTGACGATACCTGTGATTTGGTAAAGGAGTGTTTGTACTTGAAGGGTATACAGACGCTGACATGGCAGGTAATGTGGACTCTAGAAAATCCACATTTGGCTATATAACTACCTTTGCAGGGGGAGCTGTGTCGTGGCAATCAAAACTTCAAAAGTGTATTGCGTTGTCAACGACTGAAGCAAAGTACATCGTAGTGTCTGAAGCGTGCAAAGAGACTATGTGGATAAAGAATTTTCTGTGTGAGCGGTGTCAAAAACAAGATAAGTATGTTGTGCATTGTGATAACCAAAGTGCCATTCATCTGGCTAAAAATCAAACCTTCTACTCTTGTTCAAAGCATATTGATGTGCGGTATCACTGGATAAGAGGAGCTTTGAAAGATGGTCTGTTACAGATCGAGAAAGTACATACAGACGATAATTGGTCTGATATGTTGACTAAGACGATCCCTATTAAGAAGCTATTTGATTGTTGCAAAGGAGTGGGTCTGATAATGTAAACTTAATTAAGTCTGGAAGGGGGAGAATGTTGGATAATCCCTCCTTAATTAAGTCATTCCTAATGGTAAGAAATTATTAGAAGAAAACCCAACATGGCAAGAAAACCCAAGGCATTGAAACTATGCTCTGTCCACCTTTAGAACGTGAAAAGTCATCATTGTTACATTGGGCAGTAAAGACAATTAATATCATCTGACATGGTTTGTTGGAGAAGTCTCACTCTTCCTATAAATAGGAGTTTTGAGAGAAGATCAAAAGACACTGGTAAGATCCAACTGAGATAGTTGAGAGCCAAAAGCAGACACTGTAATCCTCCTTAGGAGAGAATCTGTAATCCTCTGAGATGAGACTGTGAGTTATCCTTTTGTAAAGAGAAAGTTCTTATTGTAATCCTATTTTTCATAATGGAGATATTTTTTCACTAAGCCTATTTTAAGTTACTAAGAAGGAAGGGGAATCTGTATTATTCCGCTATAATCTTCTATAATCTGACGTTCCCCAACATGATTTGGGGTGGCCTATTCCATCAGAATTTAAATTGCATGGATCATAAATATTTATATCTTCATTTGCAGAAATCGGTGGGAAGTATATCTCTGTTAAGTCTGCTGGAAACCTTTCAACCTTGTTCGATGTAGGGGGCATTGTTGGGGGTATCCTTGCTGGCTACATATCAGATAAACTCAATGCCCGTGCTATAACTGCGGCCAGCTTCATGTATGCAGCGATTCCTTCTATGCTTTTGTACCAGCATTATGGAAGTGTTTCTATGAATACCAACATTGTTCTTATGATGGTGACTGGATTATTTGTAAACGGGCCTTATGCACTTATCACTACTGCTGTCTCTGCTGACTTGGGCACACACAGTTCTCTCAAAGGTGACTCTCGTGCTCTAGCAACAGTGACAGCTATTATAGATGGTACTGGATCTGTTGGTGCAGCTCTTGGTCCTCTTCTCACTGGGTTCATTTCAACAAGGGGATGGACTGAAGTTTTCATGATGCTAGTTCTAGGTGCTTTTATTGCGGGGCTTCTTTTGTCACGATTGATCATAGCAGAAATTGCAGAGAGAAGTGGCAAACCTTTATCAAGTGGACCTCAAAATCCTGAAGGTAATGTTTCCAAGTCATATAATCAATTTTAGTCCATGCCTTTCTTTAATCATTCTTGTTCCTTGGACAAATCTAGTTGATTAAAGGAATGTCGAGCATACCCCTGGTAAAAATGGGGTAAAACTACCCAATCATGACTGAGTGGTGCAGTTCACTTATGTACTTCAAGATTTTGACTGTAGGAATTGATTGCACCAGTCCACTATGATTGGCTGTTTAATCCGGTTTTTGTTTGGGTTAAGTTCAACAATCTCTATCAAGTAGGGTTGTCCAACTTACCTTAAGTAAGAATGAGGTTAAACAACCCCATCATGACTGATTGGTGCGATTCTTTAACGTACTTATGATAGTTGGTTATAGTTATTAATTGCACCAATCTTATATGCATATAGTATTTACACATTCACATTTCATGTCGAATGGAAGGTGCTGTATCCTCATGTGTTTGTTCATTTGTTTGACTGAGGTATTAAAGATAGCATTCTCATGTTTGAATTAGATAAAACTCAAATGTCTCTCCGTGTTATCATCCCTGATGATGTTTTTTTTATTACTATTTGATCTTTGGCAGCCTCTGCATCTCAATCACTTCTGGAGGACGAAAGGTGACACTGATCAGGTCTTCATGAATCATCAAATATAATGCTCAATACATGGAGTTGTAATATGAGAAAGTTGTACAGTTTTGTTAATGACTCTGCCTCCAGCATGCAGCACCCACTCATTGTTCATTTTTCTGATGAGTAAATCATCAAGTAGAGTTAAAATCCATTCATTAAGCTCTCAGATCAATTTTTTCCTTGACCGTGGAAGGTTCCAAAGGGGATCACTACTCACAACTGGTGATGGAACTTGATTCCTTTTCATCGTGAATTGATTGTCTGAAGGGATAATTGTGGAGACTGACTGCTTATACTGAATCATCTCCACACTAGATATTCCGAAGTGACATTTATTCCCTTAATCCTTGTGTCAATTCATTCAAGGAGCCTCCGTTTTCAATTTTGTATTCAGCAGATTAGGATATACTGCCAAGTTTCTTGTATCTATCACAACCCAAATCCCACCATATCAAATTTTTGTTACCATAACATGTTAGATAATTCGACTTGTATAGATGAAAATAAATAAATGAATAACTCTCGGTACATCCTATGATTCGTGGGTTACTTTGGTTGTGAAGTTTGCTTTAGCAGGTAAACCATAATTTCTGTCGCCTTTATTTATGATTTATTCTCCTCCTCAGCTGTAGCATGTTTGGGTCGGTTTGTTCTTGGGTGACATAAGTTAATTGTATCTGACCGTGAGTGTGTATCAGTATCTGTATTTTCTTTATTCATGAAGTCATGATGTACATTTTAACTAAAAAAAAAACATAGTTCGAGAATGGTATGCATTTTCCTGTTTCTGAAGAAATGGCCTTATATGATATATGAGGACTCTGTTGGGAACAAGTGTAGATTTGGACCATGGGAAAAATAAGTGGCTTTGCAGTTGGGATGTTGCTGAAGAGTGAAACAGGAATAAGGTGTTTGCTTCAGCTTATAATATGGTTTATCAACCACTTTTGAGAAGCCAAGTAGTATGCAATTAAGTATTATCTCCTAATTCTTTTGGTGGTGCTTAATGCAGGAGATCAAAATCAATGCTTAAGCTAGAGTGCGGTCTTCTCTAAAGTGACAACTAATTAAAATTACTTGTATTATCAGTAAAGTTTGTTCAGAGTTACAATCTATTCCGATGCATTACTGTTAAATATTTAAAGCTATTTATTAATAGGGAAGACAACGTGAAAAAGTGATCAAGTGTTAGATATATTAGTGGACAAAAAGAAAAGTTTGAAAAATATGCGTAATTTTCAATGAGATGTCCCAGTTTAGTTGGTGGGACGGATTTTGAGACACAGTTGTGACAGATGATTTGAGTCTGTGTTTTAGATAGTTTTTAAACAGAGTATGATAAAGATTATGGTTTCTTTGTGCATTGCATCTTCTATTACTCATTCAAAACTACTATTCCATGTTTTTCTCTTCTGCATAAATTACAAATTTTAGTACCTTTTTTTGGGTCTTCCTCCAAGTGCCTTGGCCACAATTTTTTAGATGCTTCCAGTAAGAGAGATAAGCCCAATGAAAAGTTACAACCTTTACGAGTGCCTTAGTATGGAAATCATTTATCATCCTACAAACAACAGCCCCAAAACTAATTGAGTGATATGAATCAAGCACCTTGTTAGCAAATTTATTTATTTATCATCATCGACAATTATTTGTTTATTGTAAAATCTCTATATTAAATACATTTTAATAACTTTCAAATTGTAAATATTCCGAAAATATAATATAGTAAGTTAAGTGTATGATAATAGTAAAAATGATAATCAAGTAATGTGTTGTTTAAATATTATTTATTCGTCAATTATTGTATTATTGATATAGTTATTATCTTTATGAGGAGTGAACCTGAGGGGTAGGTTCACCAATCCATGATTATTATGTTATGGAGTATCGGGGGTATGTGATGGCGGCGACACGTCCCATGTTCTTGCTCATGCATGCCAAGCACCCTCCCCTCCCCTGCACCCACGCCCACAGCCACAGGATCAACACCTCCTCCCTGCCATGTCATGACCGCCACCTTCACCCTCTTCTCCCCTTCATATGCTACCACTTGTCTTCTTCGCGGGGGTGCTTCTTGCTTAAAGGCTACCCCACCGTTTCAATTTTATTTTTCATTCAGATTTTCCATATTAGTTTCGGGGGTGTGGCTTCAAACTACATGGTAACATGGTTCGTGTTAGAGTATGGTAGTGATGCATGTGGTGGGAGAGGGAGGAATGGGAGAGAGAAAAAAGTTAGATGGTAGCTGGTCAGAGAGGAATATGTGTGAGGGAAAATGATGTATGCACCAAACCCTTCCAGTTGACATTTAGAGAGACCCAAAAATTTGATATAGTGCACTGTTGATAGATTAATTATAAATAATGCACAAGGAGACACGAAATTATAAATATTTCCACTAGTAGTGGCAGTGAAATTTGGTACAATCAAAACGATTTAGAGTTCTTTCTTAAAAGGGAATGACACTGTGATCAAAGCAGAGGCCTTTCCCTCTGTGCATGGGACTACTATAACGTTCCCATCATCACCAATTGATCCAATCCAACGAGAAACAAGGACAGGCTTGTTTCCTTCATGAAACGTTACGCATTCTCCAAAATCATTCCAAGTAGCACCACTGATTTGATTCTTTAGGCTTTGGTCAAACACTTTCTTACAGTATTCATTCTTTGAGTGACCCTCTGCCTTGATGACCTCAGAGGATTCTTTCACAAACAAATTAAATTTTGTCCACACTCCCTTGTGAAGCTTTTGATCTACTTCCTCAACGCATAGCATGGCAACTTCCCTCCAAAATTCCTCGTTGAAATTTAAGTCTTTGGCAATGACCTTGAATGCTGTAGTATGTGCTTTTCTAATTTTGGTGCGGTGGATCGTATCAGCAAGGGGGGGCTCGTTATTTTTTATGAGTAGAGGGTGATAAAATATGGGTGTGTTAATCTTTTCTCTTTGGTGTAACATACTATTGTGAATTTCAGCCCATGTCTTGAGGAAGTTCTCTACCACCAAAACATCTGCCAAGAGAAGACTGCAGCTAATGCCTATTGTGTATCCTCCACATTCAAACTGGGTCACCTGAAAAAGAAAAATCAAAATAGTCTTTCAATTTGAAGCATGATTGATAACGGAATACGCAACTATGGTTAATCACGTACAACCTTATCCATCTCAAAAAGCTTAAGCTGATAGGTGTGGCTAAATGAATAAACACAGCATGCACTACTTGCCTGGACATAAAAGAGAGGAGAGAACTGAGGATTGAGCTCATCGATTTCCTTCCAAAAGGCAAGCTCAGCCTCAAGATGTTCCTTTTCAACACTCAAGGCAAGAAACTCTGACAAAACCATGGGGAAGCGTGCCTCGTAGAGTCGAATGCCAGAATCATTGGACACAATCTCTAACATTCCCCAGTGCTCGTCACTGTCCTTCCTTCTCAGCCTCCCTGAAAGAAGTGGGTGTTCCACCAGGGCACTGCTCAGTGACTCTACAATCCAACCAGCCAAAAACTTATCACCCTCTTCCTCATTCAAATTCTCATAGTAGAGAACGATTTGGTAGCATCCATGAATGGCCTTTGGCTGTGACCTCACCATTGAGTCAGTGTCACTCATCAAAACCTGGCGAACTCGTCGTGGTTCTGTCGCCTTAAACGGTGGTACACTCAGCACGGCTTCAATCTGCAACTTTGGGAGGCTTTGGCTAGCATCACACACAGCCATTGTTTCTTGAACAAATGCTTACTGTTCGTTCTTGCCACACCTGGGACAAGTACTTATTTATAGGGAAGAACTTTAGCTAGCTTAAGGAATTCAATTTTCAAGCATACTCTACTTTTCTTTTACTTTTCATTCAAACTGTAAAAATTAAAATAAAATTTATTGAATCCATTCACTTCATCACCTGTAATTGAATTAAAATGATTTAAACAGATGTAAAATCCATTAAAATGTTTTGGTATAGGGACTCAGCTAACATTTGTACTTATCAAGAGAAAGATTGCCTGTGTGGTGTTGATGCAAAATTTGGTAATCCGACTGATCTAATCTTTTGGAATTGCTACCACAAATAGTAGTTCAGTAGTAGCTACCAGTTAATGTCATTATCTTCTAATTATTGTTTATCTAACAACAGGCAAACAAGAGTTGCTAAAGTGTATTAACTTCTTTCTTAACCTTTCACTTTTGAATATGTTTTTTCTTTTTATTGATTTTGATATGTTCAAAAATCGTTAATTTTTATCATCCCGACTCTTATTTTTCAAATATGTTTTTTTTTTTTTACCATTTAATAAGGACGTGATATGGACTTATTCATATTACATAAATGCCACTTTAAATTAACCGATAACAGTAATGATAAAGACTTTTTTTTAAATAAATACATAAATAAAATATTATAAAGATTAAACCAATTAAAATTTTAAAGAACTAAAAAAATTGAAATCATACATATCAAAATTTAATATGTATATATATAGAGAGAGTGAGTGTGTGTGAGATAGATTGGGGAAAGAGACGTAAATTACTATTAGTATGTTTATATTTATTATACATTGAAAAAGTTTCATCTCTAGTTAAGTTTTGAAGTCAATACAACATGACCCAATTTTTTTAGGGTGCTTTTAAACTCGTGACATTTGTTAACCATTTACACACTATGCCATTTATTAATTTTATGCGAAACCATACCATTAGACTAAAAGTTTATTTTATATCGATAGCTTCAATAAATTTTGCATTAAAACAAGTTATTTGATAGTTTAAAATAAAAAATTATTTATATAATTTTAAAATGAATACAATTTTTTATTGTTGTTTAATTTTTACATAAGCAATAAAAATAATATATATATATATATATATATGTGTGTGTGTGTGTGTAAATTTCACACCAAATTTTATTTATCTAATTTATTTTAAAATTTTGAAACATATAGTTTTAATTTATAATTATTTCTAATTAAATATGTATTGTAATTTATTATATTTATATTAAAATATGTATATAAAAAATATTAATATTTTTTTTCTAGAATATTTATAATAATAATAATAATAATAAATTTAAATATTTGATTATATATAGTTAATTTATTTTTAAGTTATTATTTTAAAATATAAAAATTATATTTTATAAGAAAATATTTAATAAATTAATTTTGATTGATTTAATTAATTCAAAGAAATAAAAATTTTAATTATTAATTTTTTTAATCTTTTAAAATAAAATTATTTTATTATAATAAAATTTGATAAATGATAAATAAAAATAAAAAGATAAAAAATATAATCTAATAAAATCTAATAAAGATAAATTATAAATAAAATAATATTAGTTATTATTAATATTTATAAAAAGATAAAAAAAATAAAAATTAATTTTATTTTCATTTAAATTAATTGAAAAGATCAAAAAATTTAAATTAATTTAAAAGATGAAAGAAATATGAATAAATAAAAGATAAGAAAAAAATAATATAATAAACTTAATTGATATAAAAAGTTAGAAAAAATAAAAAAAATTGATAGAAAAAAATATTTTATATATAATGAAAAGAAAAATAGTTTTAATATAAAATTGGAACGAGTACAAAATGAGAGTGAGATTTCATTAACCATCTTTTTAAAACATAGAAAATCCAAACCCGTTTCACTCCCCGTGAACTTGGTTTTACTCCCCTAATGGAATGTATGAAATAGGCGACGCATCTTTACTTGTACTTAAAATTGTTTCTGAAAAAAATAAAAATAAAAAAAATTGCAGTGTTGGTTAGTTTCGTGTGGGTTTCCTGAAGGCTTTGTTTAATGTTTACGCGGAGCTGCACTGCTGCAGACACGCTTCCTGTCAAACAAGTGTGCTCGTTCTCTTTCCTTTATCATAAATCAAACCAAACACAATCTCAAAAACCAATCCTCCAACTAAATCTCTCACATCATCTTCTTTTTTTCTTTACCAAATACCAAAATTATTTTCTTATCCAGGGAGACCAAACAAAAAAACAAAGTGAGAAGTTAAATGAGAAAACAATTATTTACTGCAATTTTTCTATATTAATTTAGGTTATATCTTATATTTTATATTTTTGTACTAACTGTTGAAAAAACAGTACTCGATGCTTTTTAATTAATTAACATTATAACAAATGTTTTGAATTGATGGAAGATGAAATTGAACTTAAAAAGTTATACGAAACAAGTATGAACAGAAAAAGGATCATAGATTTGTATGATTGGTGATAGGAATTGTCTACACAGACAGCACTATCCTAACTACCAAAGAAAGAACCGTCTCACACTCGTACACTGTCGATGTGCTTTATTCTCAATGTCACCACTAGAAGAAGACAATTATTGTTTATCACAACTTCACAACCTAAATCACTCTTCTTCTTTTTTCCTTTGTTAATATCACATATTCAGAACTTGAATTCAATACTAATTAAAACAACTCTTAGTCAATTTATATAAACTCTGTACAGTTTAAATGTTTGATACTGTTTCTTTTTATTTCTCTTCTGGTGGAGGCTGATAACGCATCCATTATATTCCTCCATGAGTTTTTAGTTTTGGACCTTTGTCCTTTTTTTTTCCTACATAAAGTTGACAAATGATTAGGTCTTTATTTATTCAAAAGTTAAAAAAGTTATGTACCAAGACTTTGTTAATATACTTAACAATTCAGGTGAGAGAGTATTTGGTGTTCAAGTTTTTTTTTTCATATTTAAGAAGTAAATTATGAATATTATGATTCTTCGAAACGATTCAAATCTATTTTGATTGATAAAAGTATTTTTATTATTTATATAATTTTCTTAGTAATAAAATAATAATTTATTACTCTATTCAAAAGATATTTTTTATCAAATCAAATAATTTAAAAACAATAGCATAATAATTTTTTATGCAATACATTTTTTATTTTAATAAAAAAAATAGATTCATCCTCGCAATGAGAACTATTTTGAAGGAAAGTAACAACAATTCTTCAACTACCTTCTTTTCTAAATATTTTATTTAAAAAAAAATCGAATATAAAAATTACTTTTAAATTGAAAATTTTAAAAATTAGGACTTATATAATTTAGTTTTATTCCTTAAATTTTAACAATAATTTTGAAAAATATTTTAAAATAGATTAATAAAAATTATTCTATAAATTAATTTTGAAAATATTTTAATAACAACAATAATAGTCATTATAAAAAAAACTTAAAATCGAAACAATATAATTAATTATTAATAAAATATAAATAATATTAAAATGTTTAAAAAAAAATTTGAAATTTTGAAAATGAAAAAAAATGTTAAAACTTTTATAGAAAAATTATTTTTTAAAAACTAAAAACTGATTTAAAAATATTAAACAAACAATTTTGGTGATTTATGTAATTTCATTAAGATAATAAAGAACAAAGTATCCAAGTAGGAATATGGAAACACGGTGCAGGACACGTGGCAGCAACTGATCCTGATGATACGTCACCCAACTCGCACCCCTTCACCCTTAAGACCTCCGACACCCGCGGGCCAGTTTAAAACGCCACTTCCACACGCAATTTCTGCATTTCTCTCTTCGATCCCTCTCCCCTCTTTCTCCGGCGACGATCTCAGATTTCGCTCACTCCTCTCGCCGGCGAGCCCTTACTCATCCCTCTTCCTTTCACTCCTCTCTGATTCTAATCGTTCCCAACCTCGCACCACCATGAATCCCGAATAGTAAGTGCATATTCTCCTCGCTGCTTCAATTGCGAAAATCCTGCTACGAATCGTTTCGCGTATTCGTTTATCAATTAAGATCGTTTAGATCTGTAGTAGTTGTTGTGTTAGGTAGTGTTGAATTTTATATAAGCGAAGTGCTGAATCGTTTCTGCAAATTTTGTTTTACTGGATCGTGCTTCTGGAAAGTTCCTCGCTGATTTAGATCTGTTTATTTAGACCATAGATCCGTTCGGGCGTGTTCAATTATGCTTGAGCTATGTGTGAAATGTTTGTTTATCTGATTTCGGATCTTTAAACGTTTTATCTTAATTATAGTTTTTTTTTTTTAATGATGAGATAACTGCAGAAACTGGGTTACCAGAACAAGATGCCAGCTTGTTCATTAGTTGAACATATGTGAATTCTAAGGACTATGTTGGTGGTTGGTAGTTGTGGCTAGTAAATTTATTATAATTGATACCTTTGTCTCTCTCTTGTGTTTGTGTTTTCCTTTTTTTGTGTTGCGGTGATTAGTGATGTTGCATTCTAACTAAGGATTGTTATAGTTTGATTCTTATGTTATTGAAAAGAGTTCTATAAATAGATCTATATGATGTTAAGCAAAGGGTGGCCCATCCTAAACTAATTTGATTTAAAAATTAAAAGGCATTTTGAGCTCTGTTAGTATTCAATCTTGCTGAGACCATAAATATATCGAGTAGTTGGGTTATGCTAAGTGGACTAAAGTTTATAGGAAAAACTCGTGACTTTTGTACAAGTTAGTGGAGTTTATCTGGATTTGAGTAGGCAAATATTGTACAAATCACGAGACAAATTTAATAGTGAAGAGTATGCTGTCGGTGCATGACTACATCTACGATTATTATAAGTGATGTGCTATATGTGGCAGCCTGCATGCCACCTTTTAGACAGTAATGTTTTGTTGTGACATGCTATGGCACTTGTGCTCGTCTTATGTGCTATATTTCCGTATCATTGGCCATGAATAGACAGTTTCTTAA